GTCTTCGTTATACGATTCGAATTTTTCATTTTTTAAATACTGACGAACTTTCACTGACACTAACGTACTTTTGAATTATTGTAGCAGCTTTCACGCATTTTCTTTACGAATGCCCAAAAATTTGAATACACATAATAAAGTAGCAGCAGTAATCTTCATTTTATTGGAATATATATAATTAAAACAAAACGAAAAATTTTGAGATATAACCACGATCCACAAACTGGCAATTCAACAGATTCTAGAAATTCAAGGAATTCAACAAAGTCATATAAGATATTGAGTTATAACATTGAAGTACCGTGAAATTCAAGGAATTCAAGAAAATCAAGCAATTCAAGAGATTCAAGAAAGCCAAGGAATTCTAGGAATTCAAGGAATTCAACAAAGTCATATAAGATATTGAGTTATAACATTGAACCACCATGAAATTCAAGGAATTCAAGAAAATCAAACAATTCAAGAGATTCAAGAAAGCCAAGGAATTCTAGGAATTCAAGGAATTCAACAAAGTCACATAAGATATTGAGTTATAACCTTGAAGTACCGTGAAATTCAAGGAATTCAAGACGACCTAGCAGTTGAAGAAAGTCAAGGAATTCTAGGAATTCAACAAAGTCATATAACATATTGAGTTATAACCTTGAGCTACCATGCAGTTCAAGGAATTCAAGAAAATCAAAGTATTCAAGAGATTCAAGAAAGTCAGGGAATTCAACAAAGTCATATAAGATATTCAGTTATAACCTTGAACTACCATGAAATTCAAGGAATTCAAGAAAATCAAGCAATTCAAGAGATTCAAGAAAGTCAAGCAATTCAAGGAATTCAACAAAGTCATATAAGATATTGAGTTATAACCTTGAAGTACCGTGAAATTCAAGGAATTCAAGAAGATCTAGCAGTTGAAGAAAGTCAAGGAATTCAACAAAGTCATATAAGATGTTCAGTTGTAAACTTGAACTACCATGAAATTCGAGGAATTCAAGAAGATCAAGCAATTCAAGACATTCAAGGAATTCAAGGAATTCAACAAAGCCATTTAAGACATTGAGTTATAACCTCGAAGTGCCGTGAAATTCAAGAAGATCTAGCAGTTCAAGAAAGTCAAGGAATTCTAGGTATTCAACAAAGTCATATCAGATATTGAGTTATAACCTTGAGGTACCATGGAATTCAAGGAGATCAAGAAAATCTAGCAGTTGAAGAAAGTCAAGGAATTCCAGGAATTCAGCCAATTCAACAATGTCGCACAAGATATTGAGTTATAACCTTGAAGTACCATGGAATTCAAGAAATTCAGGAAAATCAAGCGATTCAAGACATTTAAGAAAGTCAAGGAATTCAAGGAACTCTAGCAATTCAACGAATTCTAGGAATTCAAGCAATTCAAGGAATTCTAGGAATTCTAGGAATTCAAGCAATTCTAGCAATTGTAGCAACTAGCTCCATCAGAAATCCAATTGTCCCATTAAAAGTAAAGATTTGTCACGTGAGCTTCGTTCTAGCACGATTCGACGCAGCTCGTCAAACTATTTATATTATGAAAACGAAGACTTTCAGTTTAAGACTCCAGCTTCCAGAAAGATTTTTCGGCTAGTAACCCTGTGACAGAAAACTTCCCTATTTTTTGAGAACTTCTGATTGAGAACCTTCGAACTGAGTTGTGTCTCTGGAAAGTTTCTGGAAGCAAGTAGGTAGAGCAACTAACGGACTTTCTTTTGGTAGAAAAAGCTTTTTCCAAATTCTTCCGCACGCCCAGAAAAGCCGATTTTATAAAGGAACGCTGTAACATTTTTAGTATTGTGACACACTTTTTGTCGCATTATTTTTAGGCACTAAACGTTCTTCAAAAAACTTCATACTTATAGTCTGTGTAGTGGTAGGTTTCCTGAAAAGAGTTCAGTGTAAAATAAATTTTTATATTGAAAACGAATTCCATTTTCTGAAACAAAAGTCCGATTCATGATCAGCATGAAAAGCTGAGTCTAGTGATGTGTCCCTATCGATTTTCCGACGAAAAAAATTCTATAAAAACTTGATTAGCGGAGTGTGGCGCTACGTACGAAATGTGTGAAAAGATGAAATGTTGAAATGCATCTGAGTCATAGTTACGTAGCTAACTTCCAGGTTTACTTTTCCTCAGATTCTTATACTTTACACACACAACATTTATCTGATACCTTACACAGATATTCTGACAGCTCTGACATCATTCGACCCAGTTTTCAACTCCGATTCCGCATATGATGTTTTAATTACATACAACCCAAGCAAAATAGGATCTAGCTTAAGCTAGCTAAAAGGAACATGTACCTAGCTTGAGCTAGCTGATTGTTCCTCTTTAGCTAGCTTAAGCTAGATCCCATTTTGCTTGGGAAGTTGAGTTCTGATGAAGAAAACAGTGAATTACGAGCAGAATTTTTACTTTTTCGCTCCTAATTTAGAAAAAAATGTATTTTCTCAGTAGGAATGTAAAATGGAGAAAAAGACGATGCATACTTTTAAAGCTCGTACAATAGCAGTTCTAATGAAGTAAAAAGGTCGGCTTCATCTCTTCACAAAAAACTAAATAGATCTACAAAAAGACATACCATTTTTAACGAGCTGATCACCGAAGCCATGCTCACCCAACAGCGGACGAACGGGTGATAGAACGGCGTTCCAAAAACCTACTGAACGGGCGTTCAAATCAATTTCGAACTAGTTCCGTGGCCATCTGGAACGGGTCAAGGCGTTCGAACGGGGTTCAAGAA